TAGAGAAGCACAGGGGAAAGCTGTGTCTGGATAACATGAGGAACTCCTCGAAGGTTCTGAAGCCAAGTCAACTCCTCTTTCGAAAACCCTAATGCGGATATCAAAGAAAGCCAATTAAAAACATAAATACATCACAAAGCACTGATATTATTCATAATTTTTTAAAAACAAAGATGACATTTCCCTTCAAGTAAACCCTTGTTTAAACTATGTGTTCTTAGTTTCTGCATTTCATGCAAAATTTTATAAAATAAAATCCTAGCAATGGAGGCAGTTAAATTCATATAATTACATACACGAAGGAAGTGATCCGACCCAATCTATAATATAGCAAGAAATGAGTTTTACCTCTTCAACGGGGTTTTACCACTTTTACTTAAAAAAAAGTGAAAGGTATAATCTTTCCAATTAATGGTAGGTTGAAAAAAAGCAAACAAACAAGTAAAAGCAATAATATAGTCCTTCATATATATATATCAAACACTATATATTCTTACACAACAGCCCTTCAAATGTTTTAAAACAGCTCTATCCCCCTAAATCTTACTTTTTGTTTTGACAATACATGTGAACTATACCTCACATAACAAAATTTCTGATTCTCGTGCCACTCCTATTACACTTGACCTAACCTACACAACTTGCCAAAGTCCCTCCTGAAAGGTAGCTCTCAGAATGATTAGAATACCACAGATACAATGAGTGCAACCCTAGCTATAGTGACTGAACATCAAAGATCACTATACTTCTATGAGCACAGCCTAAAATTCATCTAGTCTGATAGCACATCACAGTACTCACTCCTAAGAGCTTTCTAAAATCACTAAAAAAATTTTAAATGGTACTACTATTAACACATAAAGCACTCCCATCTCAAATGTACATCCAAAGATATCAAATAAACATGTAAGAGTTTACATTTATCTTGTAATCATTTTGATAGATTCAGCTTAGTAACAAAACCTGTCAGTTCTTTTTGAATTCTCTAACAATATATGAATTAACTCTCCTAATTTCAAGTCTTCAGAAAATTTAAAAGAATCTCATCATCATCCAAGTATAAAATGGAAATGTTGAAATAGTATAAGTATTTAAAACAACAGTAATAATACTTATACATCTAACTTACATTTCTACTCATTTTAACAATTGTTTTGAGGGCAAATGGAATACAGAAAACAG